CTGGCATGTGGTGCTGGGGGATTGAACCGCGGTCCCTGATGCTTTGCCAAGCTTGTTCTAAGTAGGTGCCTTAGACCACTGAGCCATCTCTCCAGCCCCATGGGACAAATGATTTAGATACGTACATAGGTTTCTCTTGAGAAAAACATTAATATGAAACTAAACCATATCCTGAAGCAATAAAATCTCATTATGCTAAAGTATACACAAATTAAGGCTTTACCTTGGCACATGACAATTGAGAAGCTATGTTGGATTGTTCCTGACAGATCATATATTGAAGCAATAGAAGAATCATGAATGGGGCCGAGTCAGACTAGTCAGCACTCGCACCCGTACACCACACACTGTGCTCGATACAGCTGCCCTCAGGAGCCAAGCTGACCCACAGAGAGTACAGGCACTCGAGTGACAAAGCCTTGGACTGTCAATCTAGTTTGCCCGTTTTACTTTGCTTTTGTGGCTTTAAAGAAAACTCTTTCGGTCTTTTGAGTAAGAGTACATTTCCTAACAGATACCTCTGCTGAGCAAAGGGTCAAAATGTTGGAATTTGTACATTAAACTTTCTCAGCTTTTGCATAATGTTCTACTAAGTCATGTTTCAGTATATCCAATGTTCGGAGAAAAATGAAAAAGATACTACTAAGTTCTATATGAAAGAAAGTCAAAATATTCCTAAAGCTCTTACATTCATTTAAGAATAGGCGATTATCCATTTCATGCACAGGAAGATCTTATATTAGCTACTATGTCAGAATGTGTCCATATAAGGCATCTATAGTCCAGATAAAAGCCTACGTTGGGTAGTTACTTCCTACTTACAATTATAACCACAGGCATTAAAATGTAGCTCTCAGATCTGAAAATGTATTTTTTAGAAAATGAATTCCAGGAAGGTTAAAAAGCAGTACCAGAGGACATAGGTGCAGAAGTGGATGTGGTCAGTCATTCAAAGCATTCAAGTAAGAATATGGCAATATAAATATCCAAAAAGCATGACTTGGGTGTTCCAAACAAAACATGTAAGTCATTCCTAACTAACTTGAGCATTTCCTAGACAGGGAGGAAACAGTTAACATTTAGAGTCCTGAAAGTGTTCTCCTTGGTTAATTACATTAGACAGATTGTTTGCCTTTGATCGAAATCAAATTCTTTTAAACATGGATAAAGTATTACATAGGTCCACTGTTAAAACAGACATGTTGTAAGTTAATCCTGGTATAATTTTTCCAACAAAGCTTAGAAAATAAAGATGTTGAAGTGGCTTTGGACTAAGTTTAGTCGTCCTCTCCTCTGCTGACAACTTCTTTACAAGTCAGATGCAGCAGGATGGTATGTTCAAACTGCGCTGTGTATGACCCTTTAATGTCACATAGTGGTGGGTATGGGTCTACGATGCCCAAGTCACACAGATTCTTCAGTGCCATCAGGTATTTACTTTCTCCTAGGCGATCTAGCCATCGGCGGCAGAATGCAAGTGTGCCAAAGTTTTCATTAATGACATTTAACAAGTGTTTTGTTCTTGGAAGCCTTATTGGCATATGTCCAACATCAAAATTTTTCATGTAATGTGAACACTCCATGTCATCATGAACAACACCTTTTCCTGTACTACCAAAGGTTTCAATGGCATATACTTCCCCTTCCTCCATCCATGTTGCCTCCCCGCCCTTCACAATGGGCACAGTCTTCCCTGCATGTATTCTGTACGACCCGATTGAGTGTCCGTTCAGATTACGGATCGGCTTCACTTGGTATGTCTTCCTGTCGATTTCCACTTCATAGGATTCCATTACCTCCTGGATGGCTCTCCCACATCACACAGACGGACATCAATGCCAGCACACTTTATTCCAGTATTAGTGGCATCTTTTACAGCGTTTAATAATATATCATATTTGGGATTAAAAGTGACAGTAAAAGCACAGTCAATTATCCTACCACTTATATGTGTTTCAAAGTCAGTCTTACAGATGTCATTGTACTGCAACATTGTGGTGTCACCTGCGTTGGGTGTATAGTGAGCGGCACAGTTATTGAGAGAACACCCAGTGGGAAAGACCAGGCCTGCGTTTAAGCCGTTCTCTTTTATGAGCTTGCGAGAACAGTCTTCCAACTTCTCACAGATTTCTATCATTGTCATCCCAGGCTTGATCCAGCTCATAACGTATTTTCTAACTTGTCGATGTGCTTCCGCAGCTTCTCAAAAATCATTCCAGATCTCTTCGCTAGCCTGATCTAATGCTTTCTTTTCTTGTAGTTCTCCAAGCAGCTGTTTGCCCGTCCTGCGTGGGTGGGTCCTCGCGCTCCTGTCCTTCGGGGAACATGCTGCTAGGGTACAGGTCACAGATTGGCACCGAGGGAGGGTCTGTCTGAACTTTTGGTCCGCTCTTCTTCTTTTTCTTCTTCTTTCCAGTTGCTCCATCTCCATCACTATCTCCATCATCATCCTCTTCATCTCTCCTCCAGGGCTTGTCTTTCCAACTGTTTTGCTACCTCATCCATGGAGCTTCTCGATTCTTTCTCAGGTTCTTGCTGCCCAGCAACAGCCCCTTTACTCTTCTTCTTCTTCCGCTTCTTTTTCTTGGCTGTTTCCTCCGCTGTAGAAGCAGCTCCCTCTTCCCTGTCGTCTGGGTCCAGGTCGCCGTTCAGGTGGCTCCCGGAGGCCTCTGCCTCCTCCACACCCGCCATGATGCCTGAGAGGGCACGAGGGAGCACGACCGAGTGGTGAGGGCTGGCTGCTGCTGCTCCATATGGTTTTTCTTAATGAAGTATAAACAGTTAAAAAATGAGAATGCTTCACATGTAGTTAGGATTGTCACAGTTGGCAAGTGAAAATATAGTAGGTTTGGTCAAAATTTCAGGTAAACAAAGTAATTTTTAGTACATTATTTCAGATAAATTCAAGCATTATTGTTAATCTGAGATTCAAATTTAATGAGATGTATTTTAACCCATCTTCATCATACTTAGTAAAATTTGCTTTATAAAACTTTCGTATGTATGTATGTATATAAGTGCAGAGTCATAAAATCTATAATTATTATTGTGGGATGTACTGAAAGCATGAGCTTATATCCAAACCAGGGGTTTTTTGTTTGTTTGCTTATTCTAGAAAAATAAATAAAAATAAATTGAAAAAATAATAATCCATTTTGGTTCATTTTTAGCTGGGAATGATTTAATTTTTTTATTGCTTACATGAAATAGTAATAAAAGTAAAAAGCCTTTCGAATGCTGTGAAGTATTTAATCTATACAGTGTACTTTTATGTTATATTGTTTTCTAAATTAAATGCTCAAATCTCAAAGCATTAGCTTTTTAAATCCTGGCTTTACAGCTTCATCTGATTTGCCCAGTCATTTAGGACAGTGTTACCATAAAACTGGGATCAGTAAGCCATTATTTCACAGCTTCCTCATAAGTGTTACTAAGGGGGGCTGGGGAGATAGCTCAGTGGAATAAGTGCTTGCCTGGCAAGCGCAAGGTCCTGAGTTCAATCCCTGATACCACCAAAAATAAAAATAAAAAATAAGTGTTACTAAGGAAGTATAAGTATAGCCTACTCATTAATCTTTCCAGTTACTATACATGGGCCAATTAACTATTTCAATTATGTCATTTAATCAAATAGTGTAGATACTGTATAGTTTCTGACTAAAACTAATATTTTAGTGTATAATTAATACAGTACAAGTAAATGGAATTTTTATTTTACAGTCAGAAATGAGGAAGAATCTGAAACTATATTTCCTAATGATACTGTGGTAAGTAAATATATTAAATTGATCATACTGTTGACATTGAAATTCCTTATATTTTAAGAATACCTTGAGTTTGAGGTCAGCCTGGACTCCACAGTGACTCCAAGGCACACCTAGGCAACATAGCAAGAACCTGTCTCAAAAAGAAAGAAAAAGTTCAGTGCTTTGATGGACCATTTGTCCTTTATTTCCATTCTCTAATTTATAATTTGCTTAAGCCTTTGAAAAAGTCTCTAAACTTGAGCCTTTATATAATTTCTTTGACATTCTGCAAAAACTCTGCTGTCTCAATGTTTAAGAATAATTTACAGGGCCAGGGTGATGGCTCAGTAGAATAAGTGCTTGCCTGGCAAGTGCAAGGGCCTGAGTTCAATCCCCAGTTCTGCCAAAATAAATAATAAAAAAAGAATAATTTATAGGCCAGGGAAATAGCTCAAAGGCTTAAGTGCCTGCCTGTCAAGCACAAGATCCTGAGTTTAATCTCCAGTACCAAAAAAGCAAAAAAGTTAAAAAATAATTAGCATATATTTCTACTAAATATTTATACTAATAATGTTAAAAAATGTTTTTTCAGATTTTGAAGCACTCTTTGTCTAACTATGATGAAAATCTAAAGAAAAATGATATCCCTTTTGTGATAGAAAGTGAAAACAAAAATGAAAGAGAAACTAGCCATCATGGTAAGTCTTTTTAATTGAACTTATATTGGGTAGGGTGGACTGCAGTTCTGGAGGTCCAACCAAAGGCCTCACACTTGGGTAAGTGTTCTACAACCGAATTAAGAGGACCTGCTGTTAAATATTGTTTTTAACTGATGTAATTGGTTATCTTTTTTTTTTTTTTTAATAGAGAAAACACATTGTACTTTCTGCCTTGACTATTCAAGTCAAGATACTTAGGGTAGGGCTGGTAAGATGGCTCAGTGGTCTAAAGCACCTACTTAGAACAAGCTTAGCAAAGCACAGGGACTACGGTTCGATCCCCCAGCACCACATGCCAGCCAGGCCCACCCCAAGGTGGGCTGAGCTGGCCACACACACACACACACACACACACACGATAAATAAATAAATAAACTTAAAATACTGCATAAAAAAAGACTCAGGGTAGCAACTAATTTGACTTAGATGACAGCAACTAATTTGATTTAGATGATAATATTTAGATATGATACTAAGTCCATATTTTTCAATATGTTGTAACACAAAAACAAAACTATTGTTTTGCAGCGATGAGACGACATGTTTAACAAACTATGAAGTTTTTTTTTCCAATTAGAAAGTAAATGTAATTGTAGATATACTGCAAATTATAATTGTTGAAATACTGCATTTTTCTTTTTTCTTTTTTTTTTTTTTTTTTTTTATCCAAAATGTGTTTATTGGGATGGCTTCCCACTCATCGTGATTGAGGGTACTGTTAGTGCTGCTTCCTCCTGAAGGAACATCCTTCTGTGAGCCTTGCTTTCCCTCCTGTAGGCTGGCACAGGACAGTGGAGCAGCCAACAC